TGCATAGAATTTTCGAGCACCATAAACACTGATCATCAGGGAGGAAGTTTCCAGCCCACTTCTAACTTAATTTCTCTGTGTTCTGTATCCAAAATGTCATGTCTTCAACGGTAGGCCTTACTCTCTATATGAGTTTGCTTTTTGTTGCTATGATAAAACATTGACTAAGAGCAGTTTGTTGAGGAAAAGATTCACTTGGAGAGAAGTCAGGACAGGAACTCAAGACAGGAACCTGGAGGCAGGAGCTGAAGCAGAGGCCATGGAGGAATGTTAGGTAATGGCTTGCTTTCCAAGCAATAGCTTGCTCAGCCTGCTTTGTTATACAGCCTAGGCCCACCAGCTCAGGAATGGCACCACCCACAGTGACTTGGGCCCTCCCACACCAACCATTAATCAAGACAATGCCCTAGAGACACATCCATAGGCCTATCTGATGGAGGCCGTACCTCACTTACGGTTTCTCTTCCAATCACCACCTCCAGCTTTCTCCCCTCTTTATGACACACATTTTGCTCTTCTCTTATTTTAGTTTTATTTCCACACTGCCACCACCTCTACCTCATGGCCCCTTCCTTGATGCCTGGCCTTTACAGATATTCACTCCAATGTAAACAGAGAAATTTAAACTTTGAATCTAGGGCTCACATGTGAGAGAGAGCCTACAACATGTCTTTCTGGGCCCTTGTTACCTCACTTGGTAGAAGATTTTCAAGCTCCACTCATTTTCCTGCATATTTCATTTCTTTTTTTAGTGCTGAATAGAATTTCATTCTGTACTTGTGCCGTATTTTCCTTATCTATTCACCTGTTGGAGGACATCTAGGCTAATTTCATTTCCTGGGTATTGTCATCAGGGCAGCAATGAACATCCGTATACAAATCTCTGTCATAGAGTACTGAGTCCTTCGAGTATAGGCCCAGGAGTGATGTAGCTGGGTGATATAGTATGGGGTGGTTTGAAAAAAAATGCCCCTAAGGGGAGTGGCACTATTAGGAGGTGTGGCCTTGTTGGAGTAGGTGTGGCCTTGTTGAAGGAAGTGTGTCACTGTAGAGGCGGCCTTCGAGGTCTCATATATGCTCAAGTTGCGCCCAGTGAGACAGTTCACTTCCTGTTGCCTGTGCACGACGTAAAACTGTCAGCTACCTCTCCAACACCACGTCTATCTGCATGCTGCCATGTTTCACCATGATGATAAGGGACTGGATCTCTAATTGTAAGACACTCAATTAAATGCTTTCCTTTAAAAGAGTTGCCGTGGTAATGGTGCCTCTTCACAGCAATAGAAACCCTAAGACTTGGTAGTTCTACTTTCAACATTTAGGGAAATCTCTCTGCTGATTTCCATAGTAACTGCAGCAGTTTATATTCCCATTAACAGTGTAAAAGTGGTCCTCTTTTCTCACATCCTCGACAGCATTTGTTGTTATCTATTTTCTTTTCTTTCTCTCTCTTTCTCCCCCCCCCCCCCAGACAAGGTTTCTATATATATAACCATCCTGGTTGTCCTGGAACTCACTTTGTAGACCAGGCTGGCCTCGAATTCACAGAGATCCCCCTGCCTCTGCCTCCCGAGTGCTGGGATTAAAGGTGTGCACCACCACTACCCGGAGTAATTTATTTTTTTTTATAATGGCTATTCTGACAAGGGTAAGATGAAATCTCAGGTTGGTTTTGATTAACATTTTCCTGGTAGTTAATGATGCTGAATACTTAAAAAATTGTTGCAGATTTATTTTTTATTTTATGGGTGTTTTGCCTGAATGTATGTATGTATATATGTATTATGTATGTACATACCTGTTATCTGTGGAGGTCAGAACAGGATGTCAGATTCCCTGAAGCTGGAGTGGTCGTGATGGTTGTGAGCCACCATGTGGGGCCTGGGATCTGAATCTAGGTCCTGCTCAAGAATAGCAAGTGCTCTTAACCACTGAGCTACCTCTCGATCCCCTGATGCCGAACACTTTAAACAATATTTATTAGCCACAAGTATTTCTTCTTTGAGAACTGTTTAATTCCATTTTCTTGCTATTTATTTTTTTAGTTCTTTGTATAGTCTAGATATTAATCCTCTGTTAGATGTGTAACTTCTCATCCTGAAGGGTGTTTCTTCACTTGAGTGACAGTTTCCTTTACTGCACAGAAGCCAAGGTCCCATTTGTCAATTGTTGGCCTTATTTCCTGAGCAACATGGGTCTTACTCAGAAAGCCCTTCCACATGCCTCTTGTCGTGGACACCCTACTCTTTCTTCTTGAAGGTTTTACACTGAGACCTTTGATGCATCTGGAGCTGGTTTTTGTGTCGAATGAGAGATAAGAATCTCTTCTTAGTCTTTTTTGTGTGGATATCCAGTTTCTCAGTACCATTTGTTGAAGACGTTCTCTTTTCTCCGGTATGCATCCTTGGCCTCTTTATTAAAAAAAATCAAATGGCTGTAATTCTACGGACCTCTCTCTGTGCAGCTTCTGTTCTACCCATTGATCAGCTTGTCTGCGTTCATGCCAATACTGGGCTGCCTTTGTCCCTGTGGCTCTGCAGTGGAACCTGAAATCGGGTAGCTGACACCTCCAGCTGTACTCTTCTTGCTCAGGATTGCGTTGTTGTTGGGGTCTGCTGTGCTGTTTTATGAATCTTAAGATTTTTTTTCTATTTCTGTGAGGCATATCAAGGAGATTTGATTGGGATTCCTGTGAACTGCAGTCTGCAAGGATGGATAGCTTTAGGCAAGGTGGTTGTTTTTACAACATCCGTTCTAATCCCTGAGCACAGGTGGGTTTTTTTCACTTTGTTGTGTCTTCCTTGATTTCTTTTCTTGGAGATTTAAAATTTTCATTGTAGAGGTCTTTCAATCTCTTGGTAGGTTTATTCCAGGATATTTTCTTTGAGGCTATTGTGAATGGAATTGTTTCCAGGATTCTTTCTCAGTATATTTGTCATTAGTATATAGAAAGACTCCTGATTTTATATATTTATTTTATTTTATGCCACTTTGCTGAAAGTTTTTTTTTTTTTTTTTTAGTTCTAAGAGTTTTCTGGTGGCATCTTCAAGGTCTCTCTTAATTTTTTAAAATTACCTTTATTCATTTGTATGTGTTTATGTGTGTGTGCTCATGTGCCATAGAATATGAAATGCATGTAGAGGTCTGATTGTCAGCTTTTAGGGGTTGGTTCTCTCCTTCCACTGTATGGATCCCAGGACTGAACTCAGGTCATCAGGACTGGCCACAGGAGCCTTTACCCAGTGACCCACCAGGCTGGCCCTAGAGTCTTTTATGTCTGAAATTGGAAACACTTTGATTTCTTTTCCTGTTCACATCCCTTTTCTTTTTCTTATTGGTCTAGCCAAGACTTCCCAGAACTATATTGAATAGTAATGGAGAGAATTGTCAGCCTTGTCTTGCTCATGATTTTAACGCTGCTGCTTCAGATTTGTCTCCATCCAGCGTGACCCTGCTCCTGAGCCCGTCCTGTGTCGCCTCCATTGTGTTGAGATGTATTTGTTCCGAAGCCGCCGCCGCTGCTGCTGCTGCTGCTGCTGCTGCTGCTGTCGTCATCGTCGTCGTCCGTGTCATGTTTTGGTTTGTTTTTGAGACAGGGTTTCACTACACAGCCCTGGCTGGCTGGAACTTGCTTTGTAGACCACCAGGATGGCTTCAAACTCACAGCGAGCCCCCAGAGTGCTAGATTAAAGGCATGTGCTACCATGTCTGGCTCTCTCCGGGGCTTTTTTTTTTTCCCCCAGAGCTGAGGACCAAACAAGTGCTCTACCACTGAGCTAAGTCCCCAACCCCCCCCCCCCTTTTTTTTAAATGAAGGGATATTGGATATTGCTCTGTGTGGGGCTAGGGTTGAAGCTCCAGATGGAGTTGGGGTGAGGGCTGAATCTGGGGAGGGAGCAGGTGTTTCAGGCAGGCCCTGGAATTGGGGGTTTCAGGTGCAGGGGAGGAGGGGAGGAGGGGAGGAGGGGAGCTCTGTCTGTGGAGAGACTGGTGGCCTCAAGGAGGTTCTCAGATGGCAGGCAGGGTTTCTCTGCGTCGTTCTGAGTGTCCTAGAACTCTCTCTGTAGATCAGGCTAGGCTTGAACTCAGAGATCCGCCTGCCTCTTTCTCCCATTTGCTGGGATTAAAGTCAAGCCACCCAGCATGGCTTGTTTTTGCTTTTGTTTTTTTGTGGGGTGGAGGGGGCAGTGTTTTTCTGTGTGTCCCAGGCTGGCCTTGAACTCACTGTGTAACCCAGGCTGACCTCAAATTCTCAGCAATCCTCCTTTCCCAGACTCCCCTGTGCTGGTATTACAAGTATACGCCACCATGATCACTGGCTATAGTCTGGTAATCAGAAGTTAGTAGACATCATATTGACATAGATTATTTTCTATTTGGGTAATTACTGAGATTTAGAAATATTAATAAGCAAGTCTAATTATTCCTAGCATTGGCTTGGTGAGCAGGAGCATGGCGAAGAAGAAAGAAAGAGTCCTTAGACACTGCAGAAGTTCGACTCTCTAATCCTCCACTTAGCACCTGTGGGGTCTCAGTGGGAAGGAAGTTCATCTAAGGATTCCTGTCTGACTTGAGAGAATGTTCCACAGTGGGGTGGTAAGCTTCTGTGGCCAAACTCAAGCTTTGATGACAGCTACAATTTGCTACAAGATAGGTGTGGCTGAAAGGAGAGCACTATGAACTCATCAAGTCTGAATTTTATTTTGCCCAGGAGCAGAATGATAAAAGGGACATTCTTCCTTGTTACGTGTATCCCATGATTCTTCTGGTCCTTCCACTCGGGGTCGCTGCTGGGGCTATTGTGCCGAGTGTGAAGATTCTGCCTCACTGCCAGGCGGTGACTCTGCCCCTGCCCCCGAGGGTCTGCCCTTGTACTCACAGGAGTTTAGGAGCCTCTGTAAGTATAGCAAAACTCTGTTAATTTGACGTTTCTGTTCAATGTTTGCAAAGTGATGAAGCCAGTTGACAAGGTGAGAATGTTTCCTGATGTCATTGGCTCTTTATTTTAAAATGTAGACAATATTTGAAATGAAAGAAACACTCAGAGCTCAGATGCTTCCAGTAAATTTAAACATCAGCAACACATGCATTTACAGACTGGCTGTTAAACTGTTAAAAGTCACATCCTTATGTTTTCTTCCCGTACATCACTTTATTGCATTTTGTAGATATTTTGCTTTTTCTAAATCCAAGGTTTGCAGCAAATCTGCAATCGGGAATCCCTTGATATCATTTGTTCAGTGGTGTGGGGTCACTTTCTGTCTCTTTCACATTTTGGTAATTCTTTTCTTTTAAATTAATTAATTAATTAATTAATTTTATGTATATGAGAGCTCTATCTTCGTGTAGGACTTTATGCCAGAAGAGGGCATCAGATCCCACTGGAGGTGGTTGTGAACTATCATGCGGTTGCTGGGAACTGAACTCAGGACTTCCGGAAGAGCAGTCAGTGCTTTTAACCACTGAGCCATCTCTCCAGCTCCAGTAATTCTTACAGTATTTCAAAACTTTTCATTTTTTATATGTGTTTGGTTGTTTATGATCAATAATATTTTTAACAAGCTGAATTTGTTCTTTGACAATTTCACATATATATACATATGTATTCATTTACATATACATATATTTCTATATGTACACATATATATTGTTCTTTGAAATTTTCATATGTAATATTCTTATCCCCCACACCCTGTTTTTTCCCTCCCATACTTGTCAGTGCCCCTCCTCCCTACAGGCCCATGTCTCACGTTCAGGTTTTCTGTCTGTCTGTCTGTCTAATGACCACTAGAGTGTCTCAGTGGCCATGGGTATGGAAGTTTCCAATGGAGTCTGGTGGACTCACCAGTGGGTACAAAAAGGCATATTGTTGCAGGATATTTGATCACACTCTGAACCCCAAGATTGCATTTCTTACTGGAAAAACCTGTTTCTAGTTGTGGTGTGGCTCAGCCCTAGCACACACCTTTAACCCAAGAGCTTTCTGCTTAAATATTGTAAACAGGGTTAAATAAAGTCAACCATAGGTCAAGAGGTGGAGCAAGCAACCAGTTGACAGGAAGTGAACATAGGATTATTAAGAAAAAAAAACATAAAGAGAAGGAGTCAGGAGGACGGATAGAGAGATGCAGAGGAAGTAGAGGGGAGGGAGAGTGAGTTGGAAGAGATTTATTTGAGACAAGGAGAGAGGACAGGCTTCTGGGACAACGGTGGAGGAGGAAAATCAGCTGGGTGCTTTCTCTGCCTCTCTGAGCTAGCAGGCTGTATAAAGCTAAGAAAGAGCATCAGCAAGATCAAAATCAGAGAAGTCTCCCATTTCTGTGGTTAGATCCTTTGTACCAACTGGCCTCCATGGGCGTCCAGGACATGTGTGGAATGTTGCTTCTGGAAAGTCAGATATCAGCTTAAATGAAAGGCTGTCTGGTTGTACATGGATATCAGGGATCAAATCATCATCAATCTCTGCGACATATGGTGGTGTGGTAGCCACCACACTGTCAATTAAATCTGAGTCCTGGAAGCCAGAAGGGGTAACACTTGGCCGAGCTAGGGGAGGGCTAGGGGTGGTTCCCTCTGTCCTCCCTCGGATCTGTGCAGAGGATGTAGTACTGTCTTCAGAAGAGCTTGCCAAAGGCTCTGTTCTCTGGTCAGTGTGTTTTCCTTTGTTTTTGCCTTTATTTTCGTGTTTACCGTGGCCATGACCATGACCATGACCATGACCATGCTTATGACCATGTTCCACTCTATGTCCATGGTCAAAGCCATCTTCCCTTTGGGGTTTAAGAAAATCATATTTAAGTTGATGTCCATGACCAAGGCCATGTTGTTTCTGATGTCCATGGCCAAGGCCATGTTGTTTCTGATGTCCATGGCCAAGGCCATGAATCTGCGGGGGCCAATGGCCTTGGTCATGCCCATGCTTTTGGGCATGGTCAACCTTATACTTTGTTTGTCTTTCATGCCCGTGAGCGGGTCTTTGCTCATTTTCTGGATTCTGCTCTTCTTGCACCATGGCAGTAGAGGGTGGACTTACAGTTGCTCCTGCTTTTGTCTCTTGTACTTGGACTCCTCGGAAAGGTGAAAAGCCTGGAGGCCTTCTCATCATTGTACTCTAAACAGGAAATATTAAAAGGGACACATTATGTTAGAACCATGCTGCTCATGAGGGCAGACTAAGAACCTGACGATGCCAGTTTGGTTTGCAATGGGGTGATTCTTTGCTGGGTTTTAAATACTATATTAATTTTCTAGGAAAAAGAATTAGCGATATTGTTTCTCTTTTGATTGTTCTTAAAATTTGTAGACTTTGTTTGTGGTATTGAAGATTGAACTCAGGGCCATTGTACATATTGGGCAAGTACTCCATCATTGAGTTACATCCCCAGCCTTGCCCAACTATTGTTCTTAACAATACTCCAAGGCTAAGAGTTTTTCTTCATTTGGAAAAGCTGGGTGGTTGAACTACATGATAGCTCGGGTACACTGTTGGATGACTGATATCATTTCTATCACAAGCATTGCCGTTCTTATCCTTAAAGGCCCGAGCATCTTCATCGCTTCCCTTTGTCGGCTGAACCACCACAGGGCTTGCTCACAAAGCTTGGTCGGAAGGCTTTTTACAATGTGTTAGAGACAGTCTACAAATGGCAAGGACCTAAACTAGACAAAGAGAGGTGGCCGCTTGCACGAGAGCATGGCCCCGTGGATGCTCTCCACTTCCACTTGTACCACCTGTGAGAAGGCGGCCGCTGAAGTCAGTGTTCAGAGGTGAAAGAAGTTTGGGACTTCAGAGTCAGGCAAGATCTCCCGGCCATCAGGTTCATGATGGAAAGGGCGGGCTCTGATCTGACCTGCACTCAATGCTGTGCAAACTAACTTCACTTTTCTGCCAAATAAAAATAATAGCCCCTGCCTCTCAGGGTTCTAAGGACTGGTGGGAATGTATAAAAGGTCTGCTGTGCAGAGCCTGGGACAAGAGACATCATGATGTTATTCACTCTGGAACCTCACAGCATTTCAAATCTTTTTTTTTTTTTTTTTTCCCAGAGCTAAGGACCAAACCCAGGGCCTTGCGCTTGCTAGGCAAGCACTCTACCACTGAGCTAAATCCCCAACCCTAAACATCCTTTTTACTTTTTTTTTTGGTTTTTTGAGACAGGGTTTCTCAGGGTAGTTTTGGTGCCTTTCCTGGAACTCACTCTGTAGATCAGGCTGGTCTCGAACTCACAGAGACCCACCTGCCTCTGCCTCCCGAGTGCTGGGATTAAAGGCGTGCACCACCACCGCCTGGCCCTTCTTTTTTGTTTTTTGAGACAGGGTTTCTCTGTGTAACAGCTCTGGCTGTCCTAGAACTCACTTTCGAGACCTAGAATTCACAAAGAAATGCCTGCCTCTGCCTCCACGTGGCTCGAATTTCAAACCTTAGTGTTCCATCTTTGACAACTAACAAAGCATGAGTCACATGGGGCGTTCTTTAAAGACCTAAAAGGACGATGCAGAGTAATGCCTTACAGACGTGAATCATGTGTGTGAATCCCTTGAGGACCTTTCAAAAGTGCAGGTTAGGATTCATTAACTGTGGAAGGGGAGTGAGTCCACATTTCTCACGAAGTCCTAGAATGTACAATGCAGAGCACAGCGCTGTGCCTCGGGCAGGTCTAGTGTTGGGGCCCGGGCAGGCTCCTCACTGCCAGCCACAGAACTTCCAGGGAACACTGACAGTGAGTTAAGTGACCAACAGGTTGCCTGTTCTCCTTTCCAGCCATAAAAATCAAGATCAGCATAGAAACGTCCAACTTCTTACTATTTTAAAAAGATAGCTTCTCCTTCCCCAGTGTATTTCAGTAATGACTGGTTTTCAATACGCAGACACGGCTTTGTGGAATAGGCAGAATTGACTCCAAGCTGACCGAAACTGAATTCCTACCATTTCTAAGGCTTGGCAGTCGACAGTCGCTTCCGCTTTGTTCTCCCAAGGCTTCAGGTACACGTTAGCATTGCAGTTGAGACTTTGCTAATCAGGAAAGCAGAAGCCAAGAGGAAAACGGTTAGTCATGAGGCGCCTGAGCAAGTGATTCTTAGAGCATCACACAGGCGCAGTGCTACTCACCCCAGCAGGCTTGGCCTCACAATTTGCTGTCAATTCTGTGTTACTCTCCTTGGAACACTCAGTTTCTCTGGCTATGAACTCCATAGTATATATCATTCCACTCACCACCTTAAAATTAATTAGAACAAAACAAGTGTTTAATAAGGATTTGTATAATAAATCATACCTTTTTACTCCGATGAGTTTAAAGTTAGAACCTTGAAGTTTTAATTATATACTGACCATCTTAAATAATCATACTCCTCAGGTTACCAATATCTGATACAGACTTTCAGTTTGTGTGCATATCTAAGATTTCTAGATATTAGTTGGGCTAACTTCCTTTGCTGAGGAGAAGAAAAGCATGCTACACTGTTTACTTTAATATGCACATATCAATTTTAATGTCCCAATGCTGAAAACTGCACTCCCCAGTAACTCAGGGCTTAAGTTACAATACAATCTGGGGTACGGAACGCAACCTTAAAATATCTTCTTTAACATTGTTTGTTGTCTTGCTGCCAAATACTGAATCAGTAAATTCTTATGTAGATTAAATTATGCAATTAGGAAAATATTTAGGTTATCTATTGTTTCTCTTGTATTTTTAATGTTAAGAAACCTCTTAAATGTTTAAACTATTTATTTGTTTGTTTGTTTGTTTGAGACACGGTCTCACTATGTAGCCCTGGCTGGCTTGGAACTCACTGTATAGACCAGGCTGGCCTCAAACTCCCTGAAATCTCCCTGCCTCTGTCTCTCCAGTGCTAGGATTAAAGCCGTGCCCCACCACGCTCAGCCTGAGATTTATTATCCTGATTTTATGTGTGTGGGTATTTTTGTATATACTTCTGTGCAACACATGGGTGCAGCAGTGTCCCGAGAGCCCCGAAAAGGACATCAGATACCCTGAAACTGCAGTTACACAGGGCTGAGAGCCACCATGTGGGTCATGAGAACTGAACCCCAGTCCTCTGTAAGAGCAGTCAGTTCTCTAAGCCACTGAGCCATCTCAGCAGCCCTCCCATTTAAGTATTTAGTAACGGTTTTAGTCACGACATAAAGTTGTCTATAAACAGTTGTCTATAGACTAGCTTTGTGATCTAATTATATATTATGGGATTGAAATGTATGTGTGTGTGTGTGTGTGTTTGGAGTATTACAAAGCTCTTGAAAAGAACGCATCTAACTGTAGTGACCTGGAAGGGCAGCTCTTCCTGAAAAAGAGCTCACACACCAATACTACAATCTCATTTTGTAAAAAAACAATTGAAACCTTCTGTAGCTCTTCATGCTTTTATTGTTTGATCTTTGTTGTGCTAGGGATGGGTGCTAGGATCCCGTCAGGGACCTACCACTGAGCTATATTCTCCAAGTTTTTAATTTTAATTTTATTTATTTATTATGCATACAGTGTTGTGCCTACACACCAGAAGAGGGCACCAGATCCCACTACATATGGTTGTGAGCCACCACGTGGTTGCTGGGAATTGAACTCAGAACCTCCGGAAGAACAGCCAGTGCTCTTAACCACTGAGCCATCTCTCCAGCCCTCTCCAAGTTTTTAATTTTAATTTTTTTATTTGAGGTATAACCTCATTGTATAACTCAGAGTGGCCTGGAACAAGTGGTCATCGAAACCACCAACCTTCTGCCTGAACCTTCTCAGATAGGTGTGAGCCACCATCCTGGCCTCCCGAGGCTGACGGCTCAACTTGATTCAGAGCTTGGGGGGACAAATTCAACACGCCCAGGACCGTTTTAAGACTGCATCCACACCACCACCACCAGTGGCCTTCTGATCAGGGTTTCCAGTGCATGAAGTCCAAAGCCTCTGTGCCCAAGTTCATTTCTTTGTGTTATTTTTTCCCCCAGTAGAGAACACTGTATGTCAATATAAATTCCAAATGTATTTGAAAATAAAAAAAAAAGACTAATGAATAAATACTCATCAGAACCCAGGATATGGAGGGGCATTCCTAGGAGAAAGAGTGGGAGCAAGCCTAAAGTAAATGGATAGATGATGGTGAAAAGAATTTCTCAAAAATCAGAGCAAGTGGCTTAGCACAGTGGTGTATGCTTTCAGTTCCAGCGCTTGGGAGCAGAGACAAGTAGATCTCTGCGAGTTCCAGGCCAGTCTGGTCTACAGAGCGAGTTCCAGGCCAGCCTGGACTATATAATGAGCTCCTGTCTCAAAAACAAAATGAAAAGTATTTAAGAATATATGTAACCAAAGAAGTCAAAGACCTCCACAGTGACATTTTCAAGATATTGGCAAAGTAAATTACAGAAAACACTAGACAACAGAAAAATAGTCCACATTCCTGAATAGACAAAATTAATATCATGACAATGTCTATACTACCCAAATTAATATCCACAATTAATGCAATGCCTATAAAAGTTCCCATGTCATATTTCACAGGTTTAGAAAAAAACAATACAAGAATTCATATGGAACCCCAAAAAAGTGAACGGCCAAAACAATCCTGAGGAGCAAGAACAATGTTGAAGGTATTGTAGCTCTTGACCTCAAATATATGTACTGTAGAGCCATAGGGACAGGGACAGCTACAGCTGCCACAAAATAGACCAACAGCACGGGAACCAGCCCCAGGAACCAGCAGACAGTCTCATACTGCAAAGGAAACAGCAGAGCACACACAGCCCACAGCGTCGGAGGTATTCCTTACCAGCTGCCCTTGAGACAAGGAGCTAATATCCAGAACTTACAAAGCGTGGCAGACGTTCAATACCAAGGGAATAAAACTGTCAATTAGCAAATAGGCAAACGAACTTATAGGTAGTTTTTAAAAAAGAAACACAAATGGCCAATAACTATACTAAAAAGTGTTCAGTATCCCTATCCATCAGGAAAATGCAAATTAAAGCTACTTTGAGATAACACCTCACCCCGCTCAGAATGGCTACCATTAATTAATCCAACAACCAAGGATGTGAAGAGATACGAAGAGAAATGAACCCTTATTCACTGCTGATAGGGATGAAAATTAATATAGCCGTTAAGGGAATCATTTGAACATTCCTTGCTGTGGGATGTTCTGTATGGCAAATGTGTTGCTGATTGGTCAATAAATAAAACACTGATTGGCCATTCGCTAGACAGGAAGTGTAGGCGGGACAAGGAGGAGAATAAAGCTGGGAAGTGGAAGGCTTAGTGAGAGAGACATTGCCAGCCACCACGATGACAAACAGCATGTGAAGATGCCGGTAAGCCACGAGCCATGTGGCAAGGTATAGATTAATGGAAATGGATTAATTTAAGCTGTAAGAACAGTTAGCAAGAAGCCTGCCACGTCCATACAGTTTGTAACCAATATAAGTCTCTGTGTTTACTTGGTCGGGTCTGAGCGGCTGTGGGACTGGCGGGTGAGAGAGATTTGTCCTGACTGTGGGCCAGGCAGGAAAACTCAAGCTACAATTCCTTAAAAAATAAAATAAAATAAAGTAGAACTACCCTAAGGCCCATCTATTTCACTCTGTGCATATGCCCAGAGAACTCCACACCCTGCCATAGATGTTTATACCTTGGGTTTGTTGCTGTTTTATTCATTATAGCAAAGAATTGACATCAGTCTAGTTGTTCATCAACAGATGAAAGGATAATGAAAATTTAGTACATATATATGTACACTGGAATATTACTCAGCTCTGAAGAAATAAAATGAAATAAAAAATTTGCCAGAAAATGCATGGACGTAGCATGTGGAATGTCCCACACTCTCAGGAAGAAATTTATCACGTTTTCCTGTGAGGAATCCAGCCAATAAAACACATAAATCAATGTACATGTGAGTAAAGTCTAAGAAGAAGAAAAGAGAACAAGAAAGAGGATATAAAGCTAATTGGTTTCTTAGTGTTAATTCTGTCAGGGACTTTTTGATTTTGGTGATGAGTAAGTACATAAAACACAGTTGATACTGAAAATGTAAAACAATGTAAGCTTCGCAGCTTCTGTTTTGATGCCAATTATGTTTGCTAAGTTCTTTTAATTATTTGGGTCTGGTTAATTTTGGTTTGTGATGTTTTTATTTGTTTATTAAAGTTTATTTAAAATCGTAAGTTAAATAACACAATAAATTAAGTGAAAAGGCAAACGGGTAAAGCTGAGACATAGGATAAATATTGTCATGAGCATAAAGCCCAACGTTGAAAAATGGACATGGGACCTGAGTATCTCAGAAAAGAAATTACAGCATGCACCAGTCTGAACAAGGCTTAATGCTGCTAATAAGCAGAGACAGGTGCTGTGAGAAAGCCGAGTAACATCATTCTCAGTTGTCCATACCAGAAAGGACTGAGGGCATGCAGACACCCGCTGCTGGTCCAGTGCACATTTGGTCCCTGCCAGAAAGGGTAGAATCAAGACCACATTGTTTTTTATGACCTCCTACCTCAAGGGCTGGATCCTGGCTCCCTTGTTATGAGGTCCTATGCTGTGGAATAATCCTTTTGTTCACTGTAAATATGTATACTCTAAATGGTTAATAATGAACTGACTGGCCAATGGCTAGGCAGGATTTTCAGGGCAGAGAGAACCCTGGGAAGAAGGGCAGAATCTGAGGAGTCTGGAGGAGACACCATGAGACAGAGCAAGCAAGATCGGAAGTATGTACATGAGGTAAATGAACCTCAGGGCAGCACATAGATTAATAGAAATGGGTTAGTTTAAATTATAAGAGCTAGGTAAAAATGAGCCTAAGTTGTTGGCCAAGCATTTATATTTAGTATTAAGTCTGTGCGGTTATTTGGGGAGCAGCTGGCGGGACAGAGCTGATCAGCAGTCTAAACAGAAAAGTCTGCCTACAGTTCTCTCTCCAAGCACAGAGTTCATTCCTAAATGGTTCTTTCTTTCCTTTTTTTCAAGACAGGGTTTCTCTGGGTAACCCTGGCTGTCCTGGAGCTCACTATGTAGACCAGGCTGGCCTCAAACTCACAGAGATCCACCTACCTCTGCCTCCTGAGTGCTGGGATTAAATGCATGTGCTACCACCACTCGGCCCTCAGCTCCTTTCTTGAACCTACCTGCCATTTCTCCATTTTTTTGTTTGTTTGTTTGTTTTTTCGAGACAGGGTTTCTCTGTGTAGCTTTGCGCCTTTCCTGGAACTCGCTTTGGAGACCAGGCTGGCCTCGAACTCACAGAGATCCGCCTGCCTCTGCCTCCCGAGTGCTGGGATTAAAGGCGTGCGCCACCACGCCCGGCGCCATTTCTCCATTTTGTTTCCTTAACACTAACATGGGAGTTTGCATCAAAAGTCTCAGGTACATGCAAGTTGACTTGGGGTTAGTTCAGTGTAGAAGCCCAAGGCCTTGGGTTCGGTCCCCAGAATCACAAATAAACACACAACAAGTCCCTCAAAATTAGATATGTATAAATTCTTTTACAGTCTTAGGACTTCTGTTAAAAGGAACATTCTCAAAACTGTGAACATAGATTTTCAGCATTTGTTCATCTGAGCAGAGATGGGGCACAACATCCCCAGCCCCAGGGAACACCATTCCCAGCCCCAGGGAACACCATCCCCAGTCCCAGGGAACACCATCCCCAGCCCCAGGACCAGCAGCAGTGGAGCGGGAACAAGTGACAGGAAGTGGCAGAAACCTCCCTCACTAAGGGTGGCGATTCAGAGCTTGATTTTACAATTATCAATCCAGTGTGGAGTGTATGCACACTCTAATAGGACTAAACAAATAACGGCAAGGCAAGTTTAAAACATACAAACATCTTTAGCAACTTAGCAAGATCTCTGTGAAGAGACTGCATGGTAACAAGTTCCTCACAGCTAACTGAGTGCCTGGAAACTGCTACGTCAAAGGCTGCCTTGAATAATCAGGCTAAGGATCAAGTGGATGTTTTCAAATGAAATCCACCCCGTATTCCAGTAGATTTGGCAGCTAGCTGAAGGGTTGTCTGCTTCCTGCTCCCTTGGGCTCACGTATTATCTCACAGCATTCCCTTGGCACCCTTCACACACACACACACACACACACACACACACACACACACACACACACACACACACACACGGGGCAGGGGGATGGGGAAGAAGGGGGATGAATGAGGGGCTGCCTCCTAGACCCCAAGCTTTGGATGTGCAGTACATGACACCCAATTCTGACATCACTAAGAATGAAGGAATTTCATAGGACAGCAGACACGTCAAGCGAGAAGTAAAGCCGACACTAGAAAGAGCAGTATAAATTAGCAATCCCTTCAGAGGAGCTGGCATGGGTCAGGGGCAGTGAAGTCAGTGAGGCCCTGCACTGTCAGGTAGGAGTAACACATCATACAGAGATCAAGTGTCCGTTGAGAGTTATCTTAATAAAATTTGTTTACTCTTTTTGGTCATAAAACTGAAGAAATTAGAAAGATGAGAATAAATAGTTCATGGCGCCACCACCTAAAAACCACCCCGTGAACACACCAAAACTGCACCTATTTATCTCAGTATTGCTTTCTGTATGGCACAGTGGGGGAGCCTAACGTGGATTCATTTTTACCATCTGCTTTGTATTGAATACGAAAGCATGAGACACTCCCCCATCGACCACTCCGACGCCTTTAAGTTTCGGCCTAACGCTCCACTGTCGGGATCTCCTAGGCTTCATTTAACCACTTCCATATTGTGGATCCTGTTATTATTAGTGTGGATGTGGTGGGGTGGGGTGGGTGTGTGCATGCCACGGCATGCATGTGGAAGTCAGAGAGCAACTCCGTGGAATCGGATCTCTCCTATTTTTGTGTGAGCTCCAGGGATGGAATTCAGGCTGTCTGTCAGGCGGGTGTAGGAAGTGCCTTTATCATCGGAGCCATCTCAATGGCCTGAGAGTTTGATAGCTTACCACATCTTTTTGCTCTTATAATTGAAACGACAATGACTATGGTTGTGTATGAAGTCTCTTGTTTCAGATTCCTAGAAATCCAATTGCTAAGCCAAAAGTATGAACTTTTTAAAAATTTTTTTATTAAATAATCTTTTTTTTTTTTTTTTGGTTTTTCGAGACAGGGTTTCTCTGTGTAGCTTTGCGCCTTTCCTGGAACTCACTTGGTAGCCCAGGTTGGCCTCGAACTCACAGATAAATAATCTTTTTTTTAAAGATTTAATTTTATTATGTATACAGTGTTCTATCTGTATGTATGCCTGAAGACCAGAAGAGGGTGCCAGATCCCATTACAGATGGTTGTGAGTCACCATGTGGTTGCTGGGAATTGAACTCAGGACCTCTGGAAGAGCAGCCAGATGTTCTTAACCGCTGAGCCATCTCTCCAGCCCCCAAAAGTATGAACTTTCAAGTGAGAATTTTCTTACGAGATTACGAAGATCATGTTGGATTCTGTAACAGCTTGGTTCTATTTTGATTACTTTTTTTTTTTTTTTTTCCTTGTATCTAGGAAAGCCAGCCTCGAGCCTCTAGAGTAGGAATCTGTCCTTGCACATTCCGGTCATAGACTGCCAGCACTGTTAGAGATTTTGGCTTTCCTTCCTTCTTTCCTTCCTTCCTTCCTTCCTTCCTTCCTTCCTTCCTTCCTTCCTTCCTTCCTTCCTTCCTTCCTTCCTTCCTTCTTTTTCTCTTTTTTCATTTTGGCTTTTCTAATCCAGCTGCTCTTTTTACATATGGTGCCGCAGCCTGAGATTTTAATAACCACACAGAGTCACCAAGGACAGACGCTACGGTAGAGCTGATCCTCTGACCCCAGACGAAGGTAACTAACCTTTATTGATAGGGTGTGAAAGGAGAGCTGAGCCCCCAGAGATATAGTTGTAGGACACGAGGGCATCCAGAGCAGAGGGAGAGGAGGGAGAAAGAACGAGGCCACGTGAGAGTGCAGGGCAGTTAATGGTGACTGACTAGTGATGTGGATGAGTCCAAATGGTTTAGCATTTCTTTCTCTCTCTTTCAGTGTGTGTGTGTGTGTGTGTGTGTGTGTGTGTGTGTGTGTGTGTGTGTGTGTGTGTGTATTTTAAGACAGGATCTTGCTATGTAGTCCAAGCTGACCTAGAACTTGTGGCAATCCTCCTGCCTCAGCTTCTGAGGGCTTGGATTAGGGATAGGTGTGTACCACAACACCTGGCACTAAATGTTCTTATGAGATAAGAGCCTAGAAAGGCAGAAAAAAGCTTTGCTTTTCCTCTCTGGGATTTTACTAATTATACAGTGGTTTCCAGAGTTTATATAGCCTTTTAGAGTTTGGAAGTGATTTGTCATTTTGAGCTGCACCCCAGACATTTTCAGGTAGAAAACAGAGCTTTTGTTTTGCTTTTTTTTTTTTTTTTTTTTTTTTTTGGTTTTTCAAGACAGGGTTTCTCTGTGTAGCTTTGCGCCTTTCCTGGAACTCACTCTGTAGACCAGGCTGGCCTCAAACTCACAGAGATCCGCCTGCCTCTGCCTCTCGAGTGCTGGGATTAAAGGCGTGCGCCACCACCGCCCGGTGTTTTTTGTTTTTTGAGATAGAGTTTCTTTGTGTAGCCCTGGCTGTCCTGGAACTCACTCTGTAGGCTAGGCTGGCCTCAAACTCAGAGATCTGCCTGCCCCTACCTCCCAAGTGCTGGGATTGAAGGCATACACTACCATCTCCTGGCAAAGAGAGAATTTTAGAGATACTTGTCTAAGACATTCAAGCACATGGCTGAGTTGGGACTTGGAATTTAAACCACCAAATCCTGTTACCAGGTATAGTTTCCCCAACCAGAACCAAGACCAGGGGTCAAATTAGCAACCGATCAACGCATAGGCTAGGACCTCCCTCCGTCTTTGTAACTGTTTACAGACCTGTGATGTTGCTTTTTTCACTGTGTCAATCTTGAAATAGAAAGCGTGGTTATTTTCTGTGTTAAGCTTTCTGATAGCATGACCGAGTGCCTCTGTCAGCTCCGGGCTGTTTGCAGGTATGCTCCTGGGGCATCCAGGGCAATTCTCAGGAAGTGGGTGTGACAAATCTTCTCCTGGAAAAGCAGATTGAAAGTCAGTGGGTCCACCCAAAGAGTAGTCTAGCCTGGCTCCTGTCACACACACAGAAGCCCAGCATCTCACAAGGTGGGGGGTAACCAGAGCAGGGTTAAGGGAAGGTGGTCGTTGAGATAGTCACTTTCTTCCTCTCTTCTCTGCCCTCCTTGCAGCTCAGATGTTTAGGGAAGCATGTCTTTGACCATATGAGCCATATGCTGTGCTTGGTTAGACTCCCCCCCCCCCCCCCCAGAGACAGGGTCTTATGTGTCCCAAGCCAGCCTTGAATTCTATATGTAGCAAACGTTGGCCTAGAACTTCTGATCCCCCTGCTTCCGTTTCCTGACTGATGTGATTGCAGGTGTGTGCCACCATGCCCAGTTTAAAATTTCGCATCTTTGATGTAAACTAAAGAGAAATGTGTAACTTAGAGGAAGGCCAGAGTGAACCCAAAGGAATGCCCCTCCAGCGGGGCTCCCGTGAACAGACAGTGCCATGGTGCTTCTCATCGCGACATGTGCACAGTGGCGCGTCTGGTCATGACACGCACGTGCGCGCGTGGAACTGTGTATAAGTGTGAGAGAAGCCAGCCCCCTTCTATGAGGAACGCTGACTTAAGCATAAGCTTTTCACACAGCTCCCCCCATCATAACACGCAGGGAAAACCACCTTTATCTGGGAAGATTCCATTGTGGGTGGTTAAAAACGAGATGCGGTTCTCTCCAGCTCAAAACACCAGATTGAAGAACAATTTGTATAAAAGGAAAGTCGGCTGGCAGTGCCCCTGAAGACTGCCTTGGCCCGGAGAACACACATCGTTTCTCCTGTCAACTGTGTTGCCTTGGCCACTTACAGACGCAGGGCTGCTGGGTAAGAAGGCAGGCCCCACTACTTCACCATGGCTCCGTAGGTGCTTTCTTACCTGGATAAATGTCACAGCTCTGGGAGAAGGAAGCAATTTTTTGATCGATATTCACAAAGGCATTATCTCTACACTCACCAACATCCTGGTGGTTCAAAATCAGAAATTGAAATCAATTTTTTTAAAGGTTTATCTATTTATTATGTATACAGCATGTATGACTGCAGGCCAGAAGAGGGCACCAGATCTCATTACAGATGGTTGTGAACCACCATGTGGTTGCTGGGAATTGAACTCAGAACCTCTGGAAGAGCAGTCAATGCTCTTAACCTCTGAGCCATCTCTCCAGCCCCTGGAATCAATTTTGAAAGCAAACGACTAGTAAAAAGAAAAGACAATGTCTGACAGCAGGAGAAAATCAGAAACACATGAGAGTATCAGTGGTAACAAGTAAACACAAGGGGCATGAAACAATGCCCACTACTCGGTGACTGTATAAGTAAGTAGCTCTCTCTCTCTCTCTCTCTCTCTCTCTCTCTCTCTCTCTCTCTCTTTGTGTGTGTGTGTGTGTGTTTGTATACACAAGTGCAGGATGATGAATCTCTTGAAGCTGGATTTACAGGAGGTTGTGAGCTGCCAGAGTGGGGTGTGGGTGCTGGGAACCGAACTCAGTTCCTCTACAAGAGCAGTGCTTCCTTTCAGTGAATGAGCCACCTCTGCAGACTCTCCACCTCAGTTTATGAGAAAGAACCTCTCACTGAACCTGGAGCTCATTGATTCCAGTAGGCTGGCGTCAAGTGAGCCCAGGGTCCTGTTGCTGTCTCGTTGGCTCTGGGTTTATAGGTCTATAAAGACAAGCACTTTACTGACTGAGACCGCTCTCTCACAGCTCCAATTTTGGCTTTGTTTTGTTTTAGAGGCAAAAATCAGCTGAGCATATGACCTTCATATGCATCTGCACAGGTGAGCACACTCATACATACATGTGCACATATATGCATACACCACACACACCAAGAAAAGAATGGGCAAAGATGATAATTTCTCATCCAGAAATTCAAGCCATAAACTTCTAGTATATTTGTAAAAAGACATTTCAGGAAAATTAACACATTAACTTAATTATAAATTGAGAAAACTAAAACTAAACTATTTTTTAGCTATAAAATAGTGAATTCTAATGCCAATAGAATGTAAATTGATATGTTTTAGCAAAAAGCTAATGCTAATGAAGAAATGAAGATTTTAAATAAAAAATGTTTGCTGTTACTAATTATATGAAAAATAAAAATAACCCTAGTATTCAAAGGTAGGAGTGCTGTTGTAAAAACAATCTATGGTGTCCTTGCCTGAATATCATACAGTCATTTTAAAAGCTTACCAAGATTTCTAGTGGCATGGAGGAATTCTTAGGTGACAGAAAATAGAGCATGTAAAGTTATCACAGGGCTGGACAGATGCTCAGCAGTTAAGAGCACTGACTGTTCTTATGGGGAACTGGGGTTCAATTCCCAGCATCCCCATGGTAGCTCATAACCACCCACAACTTCAGTCCCTATGGATCTGATGCCCACTCTGGCCTCTGCAGGCACTGCATATACATAGTGCACAGATTATACACACAGGCAAAACACCCATACACTTGAAATAAAATAAATCAATCAAAAAACTGAATAAAATCATCACAACCTTTAAGAGAGAAAAAGTCCCCGAAAAGTTCCCACAACTCTTCCCCTCTCTCTATCCCCCTGGCAAAAACGATGAAGCAAAAATACACTAAGATGTATGTCTTCAGGTCTTTGACTATGGTTCAATATTAACCTTCTCCATGTTTCTACATCGCCTACAGCTTTAAGACAATATATGTATCTTTCTAATAAGCCCACATATATAATAAAGGTCAAGTGTCAAAGCTATAGGGCATCACAATTGTAATGTGTTAGTGCTGGATGAGGAGTGTGGTAGCATAGCGTTCTCAATTCCAGCAGTACTTTTGACTCGCTTAGAAGCTTTACTGTTTGGGTCACTGACTCCTGGCCCACACACCAGATCATTCTAGGGATCCTGGGGCAGGTATTTCCAAAAGCCCTCAGGTGACTCTGGTAAGCTTTCCAGATTGAGACCGATTCATGAAACCTCTTCAGTCATAAAACAATGTGTGTACAGGTGTCATCTGAGAGGATTGTGAGGATGCAGATGGACTTGGACATGTGGGTTTAGCTCCCTGTGGATGCTGAGGAGCAAGGCTTAAATCTTACCAACCATGGGCAAAATATTTTCCATTACATTGTCTTTAGTTATTATAAAAACTGAGAGATCATTGCTAATGCCATTTCTTATCTTACAAGGAAGGAAAATGAAGTCTCGGAGAAGTTATACCAAAGCTGTTGGGATTTCCTCCTTTTGTCAAGAGGTGACTAGACTGATGGCTTGGAAACAGATGCAGAAAAACGGTGCTGCATGGTATAAGAGCCACACAGCCTCCAGTAGCTGCGAAGTCTAAGAAACCCAGAGGCCTTTGGCTGCCAGAACCGTCCCAAACTGACAAAGTTAAATAGGAGTTAGCATATATGAATTTTTAGAGTAAAATTATGTGCATATGAAATAAGATCTAAAAATAGATAGGATGTCTACATATAAAATGTAAACTTTTCCATCTACAACTTTAAAAGTTGCAGAACTTGCTGGCGTTAATTAAAATTCACCTTGCTGCACAGCCATTGCTACGGCCTTGAAAAGTCCTTTTATCCACCAGAAGCTCTGAACCCAGTGCACAATAGATGAGCATTCTGCCCTTTCTCGGCCCCTCTGAACTTTCATCTACTTCCTGTCTTCATGAACTTGCTTACCTTACATGTGTATAAATGGAATCACACAATATTTATAATTCCATTTCTGACTTACTTCATTTATACCATGTTTCAGGGTTCATTCCTGCTGTAGGTGTATCAAACATCCTTTGTTGTACATATAGAGTATGCCATTCATCCATTCACCTGCTGTCGACACAAACTAGAATCATTTGGGAAGAGAGAACCTCAACTGAGAAAATGCCTCCATCAGATTGGCTTGTAGGCAAGTCTGTGGAACATTTTCTTTTTCTTTTTAAATTTTATTTTATATGTACGAGTGTTTTGTATACATGTGTGTGTCCACTATGTGCCTGGTGCCCATGGAGGCCATCAGAGGGATCAGAAACCCTGGAACTGGAGTTCCAGAAGGCTTGATTCACCATGTGGGTGCTGAGAATGGAAACTGTGTCCTCTGGAAGAACAATAAGCGCTCTTAAGTACTGAGCCATCTTTCCAGTTCCAGCATTTTCTTGATTAATGACTGATACGGGAGGGCCCAGCCCACTGTGGATGGTACCACCCCTGGGAAGGTGGTCCTTTGGAGATATAAGGGAGAGCTAAACAGGAGCCTGAGCAGCAAGCTAGGAAGCAGTTCCTCTGTGGTTCTACAGTTCCTGCCTCCAGGCTCCTGTTGGAGTTCTTGCCTTGACGTCCTTCAGTGATGGACTGTGACTTTGATGAAATAAACCCTTCCCTTCCCAAGCTGTTTTTGGTCCGTATTTTACCACAGTCACAGAACCTAAGCAGGGCGGACCCCTGTTGATGGGCACGTGGGTTGTTTTTACTTTTTGGTTCTCTGAGTAGTGCCGTTGGGAACATGACTGTATCTGTTTGAGCTTCTGGTTTGAGTTCCTTTGGGGACACACCTGGAAGTGCAGTTCCAAGGGCACCTACCAGTTTTCTGCTTAGTGTAATTTGATTTATTTATTTGTATATTAGGTGGGCGTGCCTTCATTTGTGTATGTGCACATGTGTGCACACAAATTTAGAAGCCACAGGTTGAAGTCAGAGATTTTTTTTCTTAGTTTCTCTTTACCTTATTGGTTGAGATGGGGTCTCTCACTGACCCTAAAGCTCTCCCATTCAGTTAGGGCCAGTGAAATACAGGAATCCTCTGTTTCTTCCTCCCTGGTGCTGGGAGTATAGGGACATGACACCACTCCTGCCCCCCCCTTTCTTTAATGTGAGTGTCGGTGATCTATCTGTCTATCTGTCTGTCTGTCTATTTATTTAGATTTTTTGAGACACAGTTTCTCTGTGTATCCCTGGTTGTAGAAACTCAATCTGTAGACCAAGCTGGCCTCAAACTCAGAGGGATTTGCCTGCCTCTGTCTCCCAAGTGCTGAAACCAAAGGTGTGCACCACCACTGCCCAACTATTTTCTATCACTTTTTATGTTTAAATTAGTTTTACTTTGTATATTTGGATGACTATATACATAGTTTTCCCTTTCTTCTTTTTTTAAAAAAAATTAATTAAAAAATAATTTTGAGACAGGGTCTTTCTATCTAGCCCAAGCTGGCCTGGATTCAGTTTGTAGACCAGTCTGGTCTTGAACTCACAGAGATCTACTGCTTCTAGAGTGCTGGGATTAAAGGTGTGGGCCATCACATCCAGACCCCTTGCTTCCTTCATTTGTTTATTTATTTGCTTTTCCCCCTTAAAACAGGGTCTTTGTACAGAAGGCTGGTTTCCAACCCACTGTGCAGTTGAGGATGACTTTGAATTCCTAATCCTCCTGTCTCCATGGCTCCTGTGAGTACAGTTTGTATCCTGGTTTTTGCTTTTTCCTTAACATACCGAAATGTCACTAAAGGCTCTGTAAAAAGTATTCTAATCTATGGTCCACCATACTTGGCTTAACAATTTCCTAATGATGCATATATAATTTGTCTCAATGCTTTATCATTAAAAATACCCAAAATTAGCCAGGCAGTGGTGGTACACACCTTTAATACCAGTACTCAGGAGGCAGAGGCAGGCGGATCTCTGTGAGTTTGAGGTCAGCCTGGTCTACAGAGTGAGTTCCAGGACAGCCAGGACTGTTTCACAGAGAAACCCTGTCCCAAAAAAACAAAAGAAAAAAATTGGGGCCTAGAGAGATGGATCAGTGGTTAAAAGCACAAGCTGCTCTTCCCTAGGACCTGGGTTCAATTCCCAGCACCCACATGGCAGCTTACAACTGTCTGTAACTCCAGTTCCAGGGCTTCTGACACCCTCACACAGACATACGTGCAGACAAAATACCAATGCACATAAAATAAAAATAAATTATATAAAAAATTACCCGAAATTAGCATATTGTAGTCTGGATTTCCCACTGTTCCATTCATAAAACAGAGCCACCACACTAAAGAACTATCAGCAACAACCTCCTGGGAAGGCTAGTGCTTCAATCACCTTGGCGTTCACCAGTTACAGCAAAGTCACTGATGTCATTTCTATGTAATCGTGGTTGAAATGATAAGACGTCATCCACAAAGGGAGAGAATAGCAGAATGTGTGAATTAAAATGAAAGTAGATGAGGGAAAAGGAGGAAGCAAGAAGAGAAGAGCTTGAAGTAAGGAACCCTGGTCTAGAGGACCCTGTTGGCACACTGAGCACACACGACATTGGAGGAGACTAAGAGTGTATGACAACCCGAACCCCGTTCTCAATCCCTGATGAACGCAAACACTCAGTGTGACATATGCAGAGTCTCTGACCAGCACCTTGGGGTCCAAAGATCCCCAGTGAACATAAATGGGAACTATTAACTGACAGTCTTTCCACAGAGCTTGACTGTCCTGTAGATGCTGTGAACAAAATGTTAAAGACTATCATTAAATGTTTGCCTACTTACACCGTTCGGAAGGGATTTGCACTCTGGAGTTAAGAGTCGAAAATGCTTCCTTGAACAATTAGTTTGCACAATTGAGTAGGTAATTTCAAAATTCAGTCCAGCCACCACCTGAAACGGTTTTAGGTTGAGTAAGTACTTGAGGTTCAGCTTGAACATTATTTATAGTGAGTGAAAGTTATAAACACCTTTAATCATTGAATTGGATATAGTAAGTGCTCAAGGAATACAAACCATCGTTATTACTAGGCAAGGGTATCACTGAGTAAATATTGAGTATCTTCACACACACACACACACAGAGTCCCCTGATATTTTCTGTATAACTGCAAATTAATATATATATACACATAATATGAAATATTTTATTTTGTCAAAGACCCCACAATTTTTCCTTTTCCGGGTTGCCAAGAGGGCATGTTTCTCCCAGTTTTGTGAAGCAATATGATTTTCTACACTGGAAGAGTGTGAAATGGGAGTGGCCTGTCCTGGTGAGTTCTCTGGGTCTCAGGTCATCAGATAGTGAAATTCTTCTGCTTTGTTCTTGGCAGGCTCCATGCTGACCACCATCCCATGCTGACCACCATCCCATGCTGACCACCATCCCATGCTGACCACCATCCCATGCTGACCACCATCCCATGCTGACTACCATCCCATGCTGACTACCATCCCCATGCTGACCACCATCCCATGCTGACCACCATCCCATGCTGACTACCATCCCCATCCTGACCACCATCCCATGCTGACTACCATCCCATGCTGACCACCATCCCATGCTGACTACCATCCCCATGCTGACCACCATCCTCATGCTGACCACCATCCCCATGCTGACCACTATCCCCATGCTGACCACCATCCCATGCTGACCACCATCCCATGCTGACCACCATCCCCATGCTGACCACCATCCCATGCTGACCACCATCCCCATGCTGACCACCATCCCATGCTGACCACCATCCCCATCCTGACCACCATCCCATGCTGACCACCATCCCCATGCTGACCACCATCCCCATGCTGACCACCATCCCATGCTGACCACCATCCCCATCCTGACCACCATCCCATGCTGACCACCATCCCCATGCTGACCACCCACCATCCCATGCTGACCACCATCCCCATCCTGACCACCATCCCATGCTGACCACCCACCATCCCATGCTGACCACCATCCCCATGCTGACCACCATCCCCATCCTGACCACCATCCCATGCTGACCACCATCCCCATCCTGACCACCATCCCATGCTGACCACCCACCATCCCCATGCTGACCACCATCCCCATGCTGACCACCATCCCCATGCTGACCACCATCCCATGCTGACCACCCACCATCCCCATGCTGACCACCATCCCATGGTGACTACCATCCCCATGCTGACCACCATCCCATGCTGACCACCCACCATCCCCATCCTGACCACCATCCCCATGCTGACCACCATCCCATCCTGACCACCATCCCATGCTGACCACCCACCATCCCCATCCTGACCACCATCCCCATGCTGACCACCATCCCCATCCTGACCACCATCCCATGCTGACCACCCACCATCCCCATCCTGACCACCATCCCATCCTGACCACCATCCCATGCTGACCACCCACCATCCCCATCCTGACCACCATCCCCATGCTGACCACCATCCCCATGCTGACCACCATCCCATGCTGACCACCATCCCCATGCTGACCACCATCCCCATGCTGACCACCCACCATCCCATGCTGACCACCATCCCCATGCTGACCACCATCCCCATGCTGACCACCATCCCCATGCTGACCACCATCCCCATGCTGACCACCCACCATCCCATGCTGACTACCATCCCCATGCTGACCACCATCCCATGCTGACCACCATCCCATGCTGACTACCATCCCCATGCTGACCACCATCCCCATGCTGACCACCCACCATCCCATGCTGACCACCATCCCATGCTGACCACCATCCCATGCTGACCACCATCCCATGCTGACCACCATCCCATGCTGACTACCATCCCCATGCTGACCACCATCCCCATGCTGACCACCATCCCATGCTGACCACCCACCATCCCCATCCTGACCACCATCCCATGCTGACCACCATCCCATGCTGACTACCATCCCATGCTGACCACCATCCCATGCTGACCACCATCCCCATGCTGACCACCATCCCCATGCTGACCACCATCCCCATGCTGACCACCCACCATCCCATGCTGACTACCATCCCCATGCTGACCACCCACCATCCCATGCTGACTACCATCCCCATGCTGACCACCATCCCCATGCTGACCACCCACCATCCTGACCACCATCCCATGCTGACCACCATCCCATGCTGACTACCATCCCCATGCTGACTACCCACCATCCCCATGCTGACCACCATCCCCATCCTGACCACCATCCCATGCTGACCACCCACCATCCCCATCCTGACCACCATCCCCATGCTGACCACTATCCCCATCCTGACCACCATCCCATGCTGACTACCATCCCCATGCTGACCACCATCCCATGCTGACCACTATCCCATGCTGACCACCATCCCCATCCTGACCACCATCCCATGCTGACCACCATCCCATGCTGACCACCCACCATCCCATGCTGACCACCATCCCCATGCTGACCACCATCCCATGCTGACCACCATCCCATGCTGACCACCCACCATCCCCATGCTGACCACCATCCCATGGTGACTACCATCTCCATGCTGACCAACACCCCCTTCACCTCCCCCACCCCCCATCCCCATCATGCTAACTGCTGTACATCAACACAGGTGGGTAAAGTACAAATCTCACCTAGTGGCAGTTGAACTAAAGGAAGACAATGTTACAGAGGCAGAGTCAGGCAGATCTCTGTGATTTTGAGGCCAGCCCTGTTTACACAGTGAGTTCTAGGACAACCAGGGCTATGTGGACAGACTCTGCCTCAAACAACAAACAAACAAACAAACAAATAAATAAATAATCAGATTACTAGCTGTTTCTACCCCACCACCAGAAGGAAGTGGGCAGTATAATTTAGAGAGTACCCAGAAAATCATGTTCACCTTTTTAGGAACAATTTAATATTTTGAGGCTATGTTTCATTAATGACAATAAGACAATAATACAGATTTGTTAAAACCTTAAACCCAGAATGACACTTTCATTTTTCCATCTCCGGGAAAAACATGCAATGCTGACTGTTAAAACAAACGCCAAGGGAAGAAGATGTGAGAGTCACCCTCTCCTTTTCACACGTCACTCCATTCACTTGGACCCAGGAGGAAGCTCCTGGCCTTATGAGTCCTTCTCACGAAACCCCAGAAACTCCAGTACCATGCCAGCATGTGGCCAGACAGGTTCCTCCTGCCAGTGGTCTATCGTATGTGGCAAAATGCTAATCTAACACCTTTTTAACCATACCACATGTCACGAGAAACTGAAAAGACAAACCTGTCTCTGGGCTCTTTTTACTTCTTCAAGAGCAAAGAGGTGGGAGTGATCAGTGTGGTTGTTGAAATGTTGGATGGCGTGTTTGAGAATCGGTTCGAGTTCGGAGCTATCAGTCGATATGGGGTAGACACAACCCAAACAGGTGTACTTGGCTGTCATCACGGGGCCGTTACCTTGACAAAGCAGACAAGAAGGCAGCATTAACAGCTGAAAACACCTCTCATATACATGCTCTTAAACCCGAACCATTTAGAAGATCCTGATAAGCTAACTTTCCAGTAACTCCTGTGTGAGTGAAAGAGTTTAGGACTCGTGTGCAGTCAGAGGAAAACATGGAGAGTATTAGGAATAGTTTTTTTATGTTCTATTATTTCTTTCTTTTTTTTTTTTTTTTTTTTTTTTTTTTGGTTTTTTCGAGACAGGGTTTCTCTGTGTAGCTTTGCACCTTTCCTGGAACTCACTTGGTAGCCCAGGCTGGCCTCAAACTCACAGAGATCTGCCTGGCTCTGCCTCCCGAGTGCTGGGATTAAAGGCGTGCGCCACCACCGCCCAGCTCATTTTTTTTTTTAGACAGGGATCTCATACACCCCAAGGTTGATCCGGAACTATCCGTGTAGCTAAGGATCCTCCTTTCTCTATTTTTCTTTACAGGCTTCTGTGCCTGCTTTATGAGGTGACCAGGATAGGAACCCAGGCCTTCAGCCATACTAGCTCTCGTCAGAACACAGTCCCAGAACCGAGTCGTGTGAGGAGAATTCTGAGTGCTTATGAGAACACTCCAACACAACAAGACAAGAGTCTTGTGACCTCAGTTTCTTCAAGACACAGAATTTTTCTTGGAATGTGTTTTTGTGTTCCTCCTGGGTGTAGCAGATAGGAGTGAGTTAATTTCAGATTACTCATTATTGCTTGCTGCTGCTATTCAATTAAACGTTTAAATTATCCTTTATGTGCCTCTATGGAAAAACATGTTTTTGCTGCAGTGTGACTTGTCCTTGTGACTGTACACAGACTGAACTCATGAGAACTTTACTCATGTGACCTTTCTTAACCATCAGGGTATAAACTGTCTGAAACTCTGGATAAAGTTGGCTACTGCATGAGACTTTAGTCTGCCTCATTTATCAGCTCCATTCTCCCAGGTCCCACCACCTCCAGAATGGTGACACTAGCTGAGCTGCATCTTAGGCCCTTATTTTAATGCATTTTTAATGATCACAGTAATACATTAACTCACCATTTTATAAAAGGGAAAACATTACAGACACATCGTTATTTTCGGTGTTAACTAAAGCTCCTTGATGCCTAACTCCATTTATTTCCTGTCATTGACCCTGACAAATTCAACCTGATGCTTCGGCTGTTGGAGAAGGACCCTCCCAAACAGGTTTGTATTTCCATTTTTTTATGGCACACAATTTTGTTAAACTTTGTTCATCTTTACATTCACGGTTTCATCCTCCAAAACAAGTCATTGGCAGGTAGAAAAACGTATGGCTGTGTACTGACAAGAAGGTGCACCTGCCTCTCTGTTTTCATGTGATTAGTGTGGTAGTTTGAATGTAATTAGCCCCCACAGTCTCATCAGGAGTGGCACTAGTAGGAGCTGTGGCTTTGGTGGAGTAGGTGTGGCCTTGTAGGATGAATTGTGTCATTGTGGGTATGGGCTTTGAGGTTTCTTGTGCTCAAGATTCCAGCCAGTGTCACAGTCCATTTCCTGTTGCCTTCTGATCAAGATGTAGCCAGCACTGTGTCTGTTTGTACACCACTATGCTCCCCGCCATGATGATAATGGATGATTCTGTAAGCTGCCACCCCAATTAAATGTCTCCCTTTATAAGAGCTGCCTTGGTCATGGCGTCTCATCACAGCAATAGAAACCCTAACTAAGACAACCAGCATAGAAGGCGAGAGGCTTTCTCATTCGCCAGCCTAAGAGGAGCCTTTCCTTGAAGTCCATCTTCCCCTGCTATCACACGCCAGGTGCTGAGCTAGGGTTATGGGGAGGTGCTAAGTGTCACATCCATGAGGAAGGACAGTCAGATAGAAAAGAAAGAGTGTAGACAGATCACTTCATGGGGGTTGGCGAGAGCTAGGAAAGACAGGAGGCTGAAACGAGATCAGAGAAGACGCCTAAGAATATGATGAAGATGCCTGAGCTGGAAGCAAGAAGATAGCCAGAGGTGTCAACATGATGTGTGGGACAGGGGGAGAAGGGACAGATGGCGCTGAGAGATCACGATGAGTCGAGGGACAGTTGCTTGGGAGGTAGCGTCTATTCATTTTACCAAAGCGTCCAACGTGATGCAGAGAGGGCCGGCTGGAGTTACCGACAGTCGGGCCGGCTGGAGTTACGGACAGTCGGAGAAAGGCTGTGCTCCATGTACAGTCACTATCTAGACCCAAGGCTCACAAATCTCAGGAGAGCTGTAGTCCTTCCCCAGGAAAATGCCAATAATGGCAACATTTACGTATGATTTTAGGGTTCTCATAGACCCTCTGAAGTGTGGAAAAATACCCTGCAGTGGACAGCTGCAGAGTGGGTAGTGCGGCGGAAACACCACATCAGGATCGAAGGCTTTCCGTACCACTTGGGAACACACTTCCTGGGTGTGTACTGTCATTGGATTTCTCTCTGTTTTTCTCTCCACCTCCAAAGAGGCCAGCTCCAGGGAGGCTTTCATGACTGGAGTTACCCACATGCACCCATTCCTCTGTAATAATAATAATGTAATGTACCTTTACATTATTGGAAGTGATAGCAATGGTTGTATCTGTTCATAGGTTGTTCCTTTTTTTTATTCTTCAGGGATTTTATGTACACAGGGCCTACTCTACCAACTCTCCTACTGACTGTCTGTATAGCCTTAGGTAAGTTATTTAGCTGCTCTGGCCTCGGTCTCCTGGTTTGAAGAATCAGGCTACAAACCACCCTGATGGAGCTATAATGGTCGAATGAGTCAATGCATGCGAAGTCCCTAGATCCACAGCAGCACGTAAGCGCTCGGAGAGTGTTAGCTATTGCCGTCATCTAGGTGTCTATGGTCTAACGATGCCCAGACACTGCATCTTTTATCTTCTCATTTCCTTGCACACCAATCCTGTGAAGTGTGCACTTTTATTATCTCCCTTCTGAGACAAGGAAAAACAAAGAAAGCGAGGAAGATAAAAATTTGGAATGATTTCAGGCCAGGGCAGACCTCAAGGCCCACAGTCTCCTCCCTATCGGGTGCTGTGCAGGACAGGAGGCAGGTCCCTGTCTCCTCATCCTTTGTCAGCCAGCCCCCACCCCCCAGTCCCTGCTGACACGACACAGGAAGAGTTAGGATAGGTCTGAGGGGGATGATTGACACAAGCCTGACCCAATCCAAGAACTTGGTGCAGTGCTACTCCACCCACACATCCGCCACACTCCCAACACTGCAGAGGGCATTACCATTGTCACCTTCTGGGAGGGGGAAGTGGTCTGGTCTGGGTTGTGTTCCTGGTACTTAGGAATAATTAACGCCAACATACCTACCCTCCCCTAATCCCAGGGTCCTACCCGCTGCCACCAGCAGGGCGGGTCCCCCAGATGAAGCACCCACCTGGAGTAATCTCGCATGCCTGGGTAGCTACGGAGAATTTCTTAGTTCCTCTCTTTCCCACGACTGCTGTACATTCTCCAGAGGCCTAAAAGAAAAGAAAGAGGCCATTTGTCCTAATCTTTCTTCCTAATGGAGACATCTATCTAGTACTAAATGTGGCTTAAAGAATTTTTTTTTTCAATAGAGGTCTTTTTATTATTATTATTTCAAGATTTATTTGTTTGATGTATATGAGTGTTTTGCCTGTATGTGTGTGTGTGTGTATGTATGCACCTGGTGCCTGTAGAGTCCAGAGGACGGCATCAGATTCCATGGAACTAGAGTTACAGATGGCTATGGGCTCCATCTGAGTGCCAGGAACCTACTCCAGGTCTTCCGCAAGAGCAGCAAGTGCTCCTAACGACTGAGAGTCTCTCCAGCCCTCCAACAAAGTTTTGAGACATGAGAATGAATGTTTATGTGACCTAGTGATTGCTTCCACAGGCCGCTGATCTTCACGGGTCAGGGGAGAGGCAGAGTCAAGCTTATGTGGCCTGCTGGAGCTGCTTCTCTGCCACCAAGGCAGACTGTCTGTCCCTCAGGACCAACAGCCTGCACTTCCTGCTTGGTTTCCTTTTCAATGTCAGTGGGTCCATGCTCTTCCCAGGAACTTCAGTGCAACCTCTTAGAATATCCCATTTCCATTCTGTTGCCTGCTAGTTGTGCCCTCTGCCCTGGTGCCTCTCAGTGCCTCAGTTTACCCACCTTGTAGAGATACACCCCATGTACTTAACAGGTTACTGTGAGGAGTAAATGTGCGAGCACACAGAAAGCGCTTAACGAAGCAGCACACAGTTGGTGCTTGCACAGTGGCTGTCCACTGTTAGTGATGTGGCTGTCCACTGTTAGCGATGTGGCTGTCCACTGTTTGTTAGTGATGTGGCTGTCCACTGTTAGTGATGTGGCTGTCCACTGTTAGCGATGTGGCTGTCCACTGTTAGTGATGTGGCTGTCCACTGTTAGCGATGTGGCTGTCCACTGTTAGCGATGTGGCTGTCCCCTGTTAGTGATGTGACTGTCCACTGTTAGCGACGTGGCTGTCCACTGTTAGCGATGTGGCTGTCCACTGTTGGTGATGTGGCTGTCCACTGTTGGTGATGTGGCTGTCCACTGTTTGTTAGTGATGTGGCTGTCCACTGTTTGTTAGTGATGTGGCTGTCCACTGTTAGCGACATGGCTGTCCACTGCTAGTGATGTGACTGTCCCCTGTTAGTGATGTGACTGTCCCCTGTTAGCGATGTGGCTGTCCACTGTTAGCGATGTGGCTGTCCACTGTTAGTGTTGTGGCTGTCCACTGTTAGCGATGTGGCTGTCCACTGTTAGTGTTGTGGCTGTCCACTGTTAGTGATGTGGCTGTCCACTGTTAGTGATGTGGCTGTCCACTGTTAGCGATGAACAATGTTTTTTTGTCTTCCTTTATCTTGTTGTTCTTCAGTCTTACCCACTCTCCTGAGCATCAGGGGCCATTGTGTGAGGCCAGAGCTCACCCTGATGCCTCCCCGTAGCTCTGAGAGATTGACTCTGTAGGGCAGAGCAGCTGCCCCTCACTGAGGGGCAGAGCCAGGGTGGCCATCCTGGTCTCCTAATCTGGAGAGCAGTGCTCTTTTACAACCGTGGATGACCACCATGTGTAAACAAACGCTGAGGAGGATGCTGACATCCGACCCGAGAGGGGAATCCCAGCCTTTGAGAAGAGAGGCTTGCTTCTCAGGCGGATACTTGTCTGCCATCCCCTCTCACCAGGGCAAGGCAGCCATCGGACGCTAGATCGGGTGTTTCCTTAACATACTTAAACTGTCAACAAGATCCTTTGTATAATTCATCTCGTTTCAGCCTCCTACAGCCAGTGAGATCAATGTCATCTCATTTTAATAGGGTAAATAGGTAGGTACTGAGGGAGGCAAAGTCCAGATTTGTACTGAGGCCCCGGTATAGTTGAAGCTCGAATATCCTTCCTTCACTAGCCAGTTCACTAGTTCACTTCCTTGAACTCAGCCAAAATGTCTATCTGTTGTCTCTCAGAGGTCTGACACAGGAGCTTTGTTTGGTTACTAGGACCACCTGCTTATGAGTGGACAACGAGCCTGTTTGATGATTGGCGCATTCCTGGTTTGTCTGTCTTCCCAAGAATTCAGATACAATGTGACTAAATTTTCTATGTATTAGAAGGTTTATGTGCATCCTTCATAAACAAACTCAGTAATATAAATCATCCCCTTGCAATTAAAAGAGTCTGTAGCTGATGAGTGGGCAAGGAAGCTGGTGTATACACATAATGGAAAGAACTGTAAGGAATTAAAACTTGTCACTTGCAACATGGTGGGGACTGGAAAACAGCAGGTGAGGGAAAACATGTAGGCACAGGACTTCAAAAGCCAACAAAGGGTGATGTCACAGAAGCTGGGCGCGGACACTAGTCTCCAGCAGCGGGAGGCTGGGGACAGGACAGGGCTGGCAAGGATCCCTGAGTGACAGTTCAATAAGAGCAGCATGAATGCAGATAACAATTTGATATTGCTCATTGCAGAACGGCCAGAAGGATTTTGAATTTTGTCACCGTAAAGGACTGATGACAGCCTGAGGAAACACGTGCCCCGGTTTTAAACAAATGCTCGGGGATCAAATCGTCAGGTGTACCCCGCCATGTGTACAAGTTTTAAGTTTTATCAGTTTAACCGTTTCCTTTAAGCTGTATAGAACCCCGAGGGTTACATGGGGCAGGCTGGGGGCTTTCGCCTAAAGAGCACACTCACGGCTTCCTCGGCGTCCTTGTAGTGGCAGTCTTGCCAGGTGAGGCCACTTTGCACAGAACAATTCCCCTCCTTGATCTGATACTTGAAGGAATAAAACGTTTCAGAGCCAACCTGAGGAAGCAAGGGTGACACTTGGAGTCATTCAGAGGACCCAGCAGCAAGTATGTGGGACCTGACATGTTACAAACACCTGTCCTGACTGGACTCAGGGAGAGCTGAGTGTCTACTAAAATATCAAAGTTTACATCTGCAGAAATACTCCTTGGGAGAATGTTCATAATACACTTGTATTCTTAACGATTCCAAAGCAGCATTCACAGTATTAATCCTGCCCTCTTTTTTGTAAAACCTGCTTTTCGTGTACATATATGGGTCTTCAAAATGTCTGGTTGAAGCTGAGCATAGTTGGAAGCCTGTAATCCCAATCCGGGGGGACTTGGGGGACTGAGACAGGAGGACCTTGAGTTCAAGGCCAGCAGAGATACATAGTGAGGCCCTGCCTCAAATAAACCCAAGGGCCAGGGTGTGGCTTAGTGCTTGCCTGATGTGTGCCCTGGGCTGGATCCCCAGTGATGGGGAGGGGAAGCCCACTACATGGACGTTGTATAACAAAACTCCCATGTACCCCATCCATCACCCAATGGAGACACCAGTGAACTGCGGCTCCAGAGTACCAAGAAGCAGAATGTACACTGTGCTGGAGTGAGAAACAAAAGGTTTTGTTTTACCTTTGGAAAACAAACAAGTCCACAAACATTAGGTTTTTTTTAAATCCTCATGTCAAATGATTGGACTTTTCTTTTTCCTGCTGAAGTAACTTGACTTATTCAAAGAAAGAGTGTAAACAAAGGCTTTTCTATGTCCTGCCCCATCCTGCAGCTGTTTCAAATAATCATTCAGAGGCTTAATATTACTTATAAATGCTCGGCTGGTAGCTCAAGCTTATTACTAACTAGCTCTTACACTTAAATTAACCCATAATTCTTATCTATGGTTAGCCATGTGGTTGGTGGCTTGCTACCTCATATTTACATATCTTACTTCCTCGGTGGCTGGCTGGCGTCTCCTCACTCAGCCTTTTCCCCAGCATTCTCAGTGTGGCTTTCTCGCCTAACTTCCTGCCCAGCTACCAGCCTGTCAGCTTTTTATTAACCAATGAGAGTAATACATATTCATAGTGTAGAAAAGGATTATTCCACAGCAAAAGAGTCTTTGAAAGTGAAATTTATTATATTGTTTATTTATCTTTTTGAAAGCTTTTAAATTTTTTAAAAAGTTTTTATTTTATGTGTATGAGTGTTTGCCTGAGTGTATGTACGTATACTACATGTGTGCCTGGTGCCCATTGTGGCCAAAAGAGGTACCAGAGCCCCTGGAGCTAGAGTTATAGATGGTTGTGAGTTACCATGGGTGCTGGGAACTGAACCCAGGTCTTCTACAGGAGTAGCCAGTGCCCTGAACCACTGAGCCACCTCTCCAGTCTGTGAAGTTTATTTTTAAAAACTCTTTTTTGTTTATTTGTTTGTTTGAGACAGGGTTTTTCTGTGTAGCTCTGGCTGTCCTGGAACTCACTTTGTAGGTCTCAAACTTAGGAGATCCGCCTGTCTCTGTCTCCCAAGTGCTGGGATTAAAGGTGTACACCACCACCACCCAGCTATTTTTTTTAAAAGCTCTTATAAATTTTGTCTTTCTCTGATTTAGGATCATTTGTCTCCTACCTGAGTGCACTAATGCAGAAATGAAAGCATAGTAAGAACTAGCCAAAATGGGCTACAGGTATAGTTGGTGAAGCCCTTGCCTGGCACGTCCTGGGTTTGATTCTCCAGTACCACATAAACCTGGCATTGTGGCACATGCCTGTAATCATAGCACTAGGGAGATGGAGGCAGGAAGATGAAAAGTTTAAGTTTACCATCAGCTACATAGCAAGTTCGTGGCTAGTCTAAAGTTACCTGACACCCTGTCTCAACCTCTCTGCATCCCCACCCCCCCCCCCCAACTGAAGAAAACTAATGGAAACATTGCTATTAACCTCGAAGAATCAGCCACACATACTCGGTGGTATTCGCTTGGTCCGAGGCAATAATGCCAACTTCTTATTCCCTTTATTCATCTGCATACAGAACTCTCACTTAAGGCTGGGAGGTCATTGAGTTCACAGACCCAGTGTGTTCTCCTGTTGCAAGCTGATTAAGTCGCTGGATTCTCCGCTATGCCTGGTCCCTTTCAAACACCTCCATCTCCTGCTGTGTCTTTCTTTCTGGGGCACTGCTTTTATTACCCCAGGGGCCAATCTTGCTTGCCTAAGGACTGGCTATCTCCTGTCCTCTATCCCCATGCTAGGGAGCACAAATTATAAGTGATTTCACGGTGAAGCAGTCACTCACCATTTTAGTGCCCTCCATCACTCTGTACAACACAAACTGATTGCCGATTGTTTTCCCAGTGTTGAACTTCTTCAGAGCAACATCCACAGCCTGAAATACATCCTCATCATTGCAGTCGATTTCCTGGGGGGCTCCTTCCTGCGTTAAGCTCGGTAGCAACCTGGAGCAGAGGAGCAGGACAGTAATTAGCTTCATGATTTAAGTTTCCCTCTAGAATCGGAAGGATGCTTTTGCCGAGCGCCGGAAGCCAACTCCGAAGCTGCTTTTAGCAGCCTCTCTGGTCTGTCTGGTCTCTCCAGTCCTGCCTCCCCACTGGGACCCTATTTGGTTTTCTGCTGTCACAAGCTGCCTGACCTTTTCCCAGAGAGCAAATTCGACTCTGCTCGATGTCCAAGCTGGTTTCAGGCTGGAACATTGCGACACTGGGGTTGTTGACCTTCACGTTTGCCTTCGGGGGGAATGTGGGAGTGCAGAGCACATTTCCAAAACATTGCACAACTTGGTCCAGTGAATTAGAGCAGAAACCAATAAAAGAGGAGCTAAAACCAATTCCGTTATCCTCTTGTGACTTTACTGGGCCAGTTACAAAGGTCTCTGCGTGTGTGAGCAATGGGGACAAGGTACAAACACCTCCCACACAGTATTGCTTGTGGGATACTGGTGTGTATGGATGCAGGCTTCTCTCCGTTCTAATGCGTACCTGAAAAGTGCAAGCACAGGAGTATCAGCCCAGTGCTGGCAGCTCCACCCAGGACACTGGCCTATCTGAAAAGCCAGCCTCTCTGCTCAGTTCTATTAGTTCAAGTGAAAAAGGAAGAGAAGGGGCCAGCAGAAGCCCAGCAGATAAAAGTGCTCACCTCAGGAGCCTCATGCTGACAACCTGAGTTTGCTGCCTTGAAGTCAGACAAAACCTCTGCATGGTGGCACACATTTCTAGTCCTGGCATTACTACTGGGAACCAGGAGGTGGAGACATGAGAATCACCGGGAAGCTCACAGGCCTGCCTGCTGTCTGGGAGGTGGAGGAGAAACAAGGAGAGCGTCTTAACCACGGCGGATGTTGAGGCACCCACTCCTGAGAGTTCACTGACCTCCACACGTGGGCTGTGGCTTTGTGTGCCTGTACCTGTACATTCTCATCCTCTCTCTCCCATAAACACACATACAATAACAATAACAAAAAAGATAAGAAAGGGAGGACAGAGGGAGGGGAGGAAGGGAGAAGAGAAAGAGAAAGAAGAAGTAAAAGTTCCAAAGGTTGAATTCTGTGTGGTTGATGGGAATCTCGAGTTGGCGATGGAGTCTGCCTGAGAGGCCCCGAGGTGGGTTGCTGTCAATGTGGGGCACGGGCACTTGGTTAGAGGTCCTAGATGGAAGTCAGTCTGGCTCTACTCCTGAACTTCTGTATGACTGTGTCTGTACAGGCATGTGCATGTATGCCAGTGTGTGTGTGTGTTTCATGCTTGGCCGAGTGTGTGTCTCCATGTATGTGCGTGTCTGGGTGTGAATGAGTGTAAGTTTGTATGTATGCCCATATGCGTGTTTCTAAGTCAGAATCACATAACCTTCCCATCTCGGTTTCTTCACCTGAAGAATGTGGAAATTATAGTACTTTTGTTTGTTTGTTTTTGTTTTTTTAAGATGGTTTCTCTGTGTAGCCCTGGCTGTCCTGGAACTCACTCTGTAGACCAGGCTGGCCTTGAACTCAAAGAGATCCACCTGCCTCTGCCTCCCGAGTACTGGTAGTAAAGGCATGTGCCACTGCCTGACTGGAAATCATAATATCTTAATGGGGTTGTTTTTGTTTTTTTTCCACTGGAAATCCTTTTATTTAAGCAAGATTTGAAAATAAAGACAGAGACACGTAAGCTTTCATGCAAATGAAACAGCCCAACACCACAGGTCACAGAAGTAAAGAGAAGAGAGGGTGGGAGTTGAAGGTAAACCAAGGCAGAGAACACAAGTCTTTGACTTCAGTTTCCCCAGAGTTGGGCCCAGAAGCAAAACGTTTCTACAGTCAGAAGGTTTATATGAATTACATGGATTACAATGTCTGTAAAAGTCAAAATGAGATGCTCTGCACGGAACAAAAGATATGCCTAAGTGACATGTCACATTGGTACAAGGCCACCAAAAGACATGAAGATTAATAACGAAAAGAGAAGCCTAGTTCTGTAGCAGTCTGAGTAGAGTCCAGCATGATATTCCAATAAGTTCAAGACTGGAAACTATTCTACAAAAGCAGCAAGGGTGGGCAGCTTGCGTAGGAAGACGTGTGATCCTGGTGGGTACATTATCCACTTTTTAATAAGGGGGGATTCATACAGACTTCTGTAAAAGTTTCCACAAAACCAGTGCATTTTCAACAGAGGGCTCTCCCACTAGCCGGTGCACAAGCACACACACACGCGTGTCTTCAACAGAGAGGGCTAGAGGGCTCTCCCAATAGCCGGTGCACAAGCACACACACACGCGTGTCTTCAACAGAGAGGGCTCTCCCAATAGCCGGTGCACAAGCACACACACTCGTGTCTTCAACAGAGAGGGCTCTCTCAAGACCTCAGGCCCGGGGAAGAGCACTGGCTTCCACCAGGGCTGGAAAGTGCTGGAGTCGCACAAGTCGCCATGGAACCGGCAGATGTCACCCGGGTAAGGTGCTCTTGTTCAAGCTGGAACAGCAGGTTCAAGGCCACCATGTCCAAGCCGTTCTTCGAATCTTTTGGAGCCCACCTACTTGTGTCTAAGTTATGTGACTTGTCTTCCACACTGTGGCCCAAAACTTCTGGCTTACAAAATCCAAAAAGGAGCCGGGCGGTGGTGGCGCACGCCTTTAATCCCAGCACTAGGGAGGCAGAGCCAGGCAGATCTCTGTGAGTTCGAGGCCAGCCTGGGCTACCAAGTGAGTTCCAGGAAAGGCACAAAGCTACACAGAGAAACCCTGTCTCAAAAAAACCAAAACAAAACAAAACAAAAAAACAAAAAAAACCAAAATCCAAAAAGGAAAACCCAGAAGTTATCAACTCAGCGGAGGTCCTATTAAATAAAGCTGTAGCTGTGAGGAAGCAAGGAAAGCCTGAGCATTAAAGCCGTAAAACTTGCTTGCTACTTGTGGGAGCCAGCCCGACCCCAGCTGTGCAACAGTACGATTACTGTTACATTACTTACGTGGCTGTTACACATCCGCTGTATCAGTGCACGGTTAAACTAGCCAAAGTCTCCCCGTGTGTAGGCTCCCCATAACGACAGCACACACTACCACTTCAATTAGGGTACAAAATTTTCTTAGTGTTTCTAACAAGTCTGGTCAGTCAGTACACTACTTACCTTCCCGTCGTATGGGAGGCAGCACTTCTTTAACTAAATTCTACTTTGTGTAACTTAGTATTTCCTAAAGGATGTTTATTAGTAAGTCCTTTAAGGCATCAATGCTACTACTTCACGTTTCTCCTACATCAAAATGACCCAGACAACAAACAAATGCTATCGAGCCATATCTGTGTTACCGCCAACGTTTATGGTTGATACTCATTTTATCAAGCCTCTCTCAAACTGTTTACTGTTTTCAGCAGATGATTATCATAACACACATGCACACACACATGCATCACTCTTGTATCGGGGCAGTACACAACTTAAGATTACAGTTATGCATTAGCTTAGGCTGTAAAATCTGTCTGCATAGGAAATCCAAGGCAAGTAAGGTTGGTTACTGCACTGTTCTCAAGAAGGCGGGTCAAACAAACACGCTGAGCGCACAGGAGGACAGCAAGTCTTAGGTCTTAAGTGACTTCAAGGTCTTAGGTCTTAAGTGACTCCCAAGGCTGGGAGGCACAGTAAACGCTCCAGACTCGTAGAAGAAATAAAAGATGTTTTCACAGTATTTCTTCACTGTAGATAAGTTTCCAGGTTGAGTGGAAGGAGGAAGAGGAAGAAATACAGGAGCTGGAAGATGGGGCTGAGGAAGTGAGTCACAGTGTACTATCGTGAAGGCCCTGGATCACTGTGGACGTTTCCATTGGAGACTCACAATCAGGACAGCCAGTGGGCAAAGAACACGGCTCTGGAGGAGGCTGATCAGAGCTCTAACCTGAGTTCTACTGGTTACTAACTGTGGTGGTTTGAAAGAAAATGACCCCCCATAGGCCCAGAGCGGCACTATTAGGAGGTGTGGCCTCGTTGGAGTAGGTGTGGCCTTGCTGGAGTAGGTATGGCCTTGTTGGAGTAGGTGTGCCTTGTTGAAGTGGGTGTGGCCTTGTTGGAGTAGGTGTGGCCTTGGAGTAGGTACGACCTTGTTGGAGTAGGTGTGGTCTCGTTGAATGTAAAGACGCTCCTTACAGGACCGACGTTTTTGTTTGTTCGTTTCTTGTTTTGTTTGTTTTTTGAGACAAGCTCTCCATGTTATATCCCTCTGACTGTCCTGGAACTCATTATGTAGACCAGGCTGGTTTCTAACTCGTAGAGATCCTCCTGCCTCTTGCCTCCTGAGTTCTGGGACCTAGAGGTATGCGCCACCATGCCCAGCTTGTTTCCTGCTTTTAATGTTTATCTTAGCAACTGCAATAGGCTATCTATTAAAATGAATCAGGGATTGTAATATCGATGCTTTTCAAGATGTATTTTCATAAACTCAAGAAATATTTGTCAAAGTGCTTTATAAATCACAAAACAAGCTGGGCACTGGTGGGTGGCACACACCTCTTATCCCAGCACTTGGAAGGCAGAGGCAGGCAGATCTCTGAGCTTGAGGCTAGCCTAGTCTACAGAGTGAACAGCCAGGGCTACGCAGAGAAACCCTGTCTCAAAAAACGAACAAACAACAACAAAAGGAATAAATAAAACAAATCTGTGGGGAAATAATATTTGGGGTTATTAACCTAAGTTGTTTTGTTCTTGGCTTCCTGATGTCTCCCTTTTGTCAACTCTTCACTCTGGCAGCTGACTCTGGGTTCATGCTTCCGTAAAAGAACTAGGGCAACATTTAGCTGCCCCCCCCCCCCCCCAGAATGGTCACACTGGTTATTTCTGGTTGGTAAATGTTCAAAAAGGTTGCCGGAACTGGTCAGTGCCTGGGCCATGCCGGTTATTCAGTAGTTAGAGTACTAATGACCACTGTGGCTGGGAGGTAGAGAAAATCTGAAATTGATTAACCTGGCTCCAGGTGTGAGAGTTCAGACTTAGAAAAAAGGGGGAAGAGTATTAAAGTGGAAGAAAAACAGTTGTCTAGCACCAAAAATAAACAAGGCAAACTCATCTGAGACTAGAGAGAAGCCATCTTGTGGAAGAAATGAGGACAGTGGAAGTATAGGGTGTAGGGTTCCTGAGACGCAGAGCTCCATCCTCCCTTCTGAAACACATTC